TCTATTTTCTACTTTTCTGTGTATTGTGAACCTTTTTAATGATTGTGAATTATTTTAAGATAATAGAAAACCAAATACACTAAGTAAAGTAGTTTATCTTTTAAAACACAAAAGTTATTTATCGGGAAACATTTTCTGTTACATATTGTATATTGTCATTTATTGTTTGTTTATTTTTTAGTCAAGTATTTGGTAATTAATGATGACATATAAAGTCTGTCATATATTAATGTTCCAATGTGCACAGATGAGTTATTAGATTAAAGTATAACAGATAGGAAAGGAGGCTTGAAATAAGAAATTTTACTAGTCCGCTTGGTGTGGACAGAAAGCAAGGGCAATTGATAAAGTTGCAGTGTCCAATAAAAGTGTTTTATCCTGGAGATCAAATAAGGAGACAAGGCGCAGGAGAATAGCAGTATGGAGCTGGAGAAAATTATTTTATCCAGGAAGTAGTTAAATTTAAAATAATGCAGAAAAAACCCTGTGCTGTGTATGTTTGCATGCTGACTTTAGTTGCAGCCCTGCGTGAATAGGTATATGAAATGACCAAATCTAGAATAACACCTTGCACTTGGTGATTTGGTTCAGGGGGATTTATTTTCTAAATTAATAACAAAGAGCTTGTTAATTGGCATAAGAGTCAGTTGAAATAATGAAGTCAGTGGGGCTTAGACTATGTGATGGGTTAGGAGAATTGATCTGTTCCTAATACCTTAGTATGAAGAAGACATACTTATGGCAGGCCCCATAGCTTGTGCCAGCTGTGCATGTTCCAGGGCTCTCATGTGTTGTCCTGCTTCTCTGTACTCCAGAGAGGACCTAACCCCTGATAGAATAAGTTCAAGGCCAGAGAACCTGCCATGGAAGTTCCTACATCCACCATGAGTGACCCTTTGTTTTACTGACAGGAACATCCCCAGGCTGCAGACATTGTTTACCTGATCTTGCTCTTTGTTATATCCAATCCTCCTATATAATAAAAGCCTAATATGCAAATTGACTGAACAGTGGAATGACTAGTAGCTATGATGTGCACTGATGACCTGGGGGCAGACACTCAATGCAGGAGCTGCTCCCTGGTGGTCAGTGTGCTCCCACAGAGGGAGCACCACTCTGCTGACTGGGATGAGTAGTGCTCTCACAGTGGCCGATCCCCACAGGCCACGCCCCCACCAGTGCATTAATCTTGTTCATCAGGTCTCTAGTATAGTCATAATTGGCAGCATTTAACCTGAGCCTGCAAAATGAAAAGGAAGACATGTGACACTGTTTTGTCAGTCCTCCTGCTTTGTTAAGCTTTTTTCTATATTGTAGAACAGTCTCTTCTATTATTATTATTATTATTATTATTATTATTATTATTATTATTATTGTATTTCTAAAGAGTTCCTGGATCTTATCCCCTCTGTGCCACTGAAGAATTACCATAATAAATAAATTCTGTGAGGACTAGACAATAGCAGTAGGAGATGAGATCACTAGTGAGACATGCTATGCCAGATCTGAGGAATTAGTCAAAGGAATGTAGAAATGTCCAAAGTGGCTCATTTCTCACAATGAAAAGCACGGTTGTGAACTGCCTTCTCCCCAAAATTGCTGAAAACATTCTTGTATAGATCTTTTGATTTCCAATCAAGTGGGGGCTCCTCTTCCCCACTGGGTGCTGCTGGAGGTAGAGTTCTTAAGATATAAAGAGAAAAAGAATTTTCTGAAACTTGCGCAGAACAAGTGATTATTATTTGAATGGAATTAAATCCATGTGTTTCTTTTTCCTTTAATTCTTTATTAGTTAAGGTATTACAAATGTGGCTTCATCTCCTCCATTAAATCCCCCTCCCCCCTCCCTCATGCTTTCATCCCCCTGTTGTCCATGTCCATTGGTTTGGCTTATATGCATGCATACAAGTCCTTTGGTTGATCTCTTCCCCTTGCCCCCTCCCTTCCCTACTTTCCCTCTGGGGATTAATAGTCTGATCGTTGTTTCTCTGTCTTTGGATCTGTCCCTGTTTCTAAAGTCCCATTTCCCTTAGTCCAGTCAGAAGTGTACCTGGGGTTTCAGGTCAGCATCAGGCTAGAAGCAAAGCCAGTGTCCAGATTTTCTGTTCCATATTGGAGCAGGGCCCGGTACAGCATCAGGCTAGCTGCAGTCCCTTAGTCCACTGTGTGTGTGGGTTCACATAGCCGTGGGGCATGTGAGTAGATAACAGGAAGCCAAGCATAAGCCATGAGCCAAGTGTGCCAGGAGTGACCAAGAGAGAATGAGAGAGAGAGAACTCCATTGTTTAGGGGGATATGTATCCCAAATCTTTGTGCCCTTACAACCCCACATCCATTCTGGACAATGACTTTTGTTCCGAGGTGTGACTGACAGATAAATACCTTTCCTATGTCATCCTAACTTCACTGGGCATGTGTCCATTTTTCCCTTTGTTCAGTAGCCTTCCCCGAATCTTTTGCTGGAAACATACCTATAATATCTGGCCTTCCCTTTGTCCATTTTCTATTATTAATAACTAGTTAATTACAATGGTATCACTGTGATCTTTTCAATAACTTAACACTTACTTATTAATTTTCAAGTATGGCAGAGGCTTTTCCTTGAAGCCTATTCTTAAGATTTGTGTAGACTTATTCCAAGATATGCCAATTTTTGACTAAAGCTTAAAGATTTCTTCTTTTCTGCTTTTGCTGTCCTTCGCCTCACTTCTGATCCTTCCTTTCTCTAAGTAGGATTATTTCATATCACAATTCTCATGTTAACTGTTTACAATTTGTGTTGTTGGTCATGAGTGTTGGGGAGATTTGATCAGGAAGCAGAACTCATCACTGCCCCTCATCCTTTTACCCACCATCCAGATGTACAGCATTCAGAGCATTCCTATGGTGATACCAATGTGTCTGGGGGCTGGATCCAGTGCAGGGCATCTGATTCCAGTGGCTTTGAAAGGGGAAAATGAAAGGCTACTGAGCATGATCTCACGACCCTCAAGAAAGCAGAGTTATGCTTGTAGATTCCACCCCTCTGTCAGCTGTGGGCATCATATTCAATGAGAAATTGATCTTCATAGCAAAAGCATAGTTTTGTTTCAACAGAAGCACCTTAAAGGCACACAAGAGTTGTGGTGCAAATAAGAATACAAAATACTGGCCCTAACCAATTTATCTCAGTGGATAGAGCATCAGCCTGTGGACTGAAGGGTCCCAGGTTCGATTCCGGTCAAGGGCATGTACCTTGGTTGCAGGCACATCCCCAGTAGTGAGTGTGCAGAAAGCAGCTGATCAATGTTTTTCTCTCATCAATGTTTCTCTCTATCCCTCTCCCTTCCTCTCTGTAAAAAAATCAATAAAATAAAATAAAAAAGAATACAAAATACTGCATCTTTCTTTACTATTTTAAATGTCATAACTGCACTTTGAGTCAAAGGTGGTGACCGCATTGCTGGGTAATTGTCATGGGAGAGAAGCTTGAAGAAACAAGAACCCAGAAAGAGCAGGGCAACAGGCTCAGATGGGTGTGCATATCCTTTCTGCCTCTTTAAGTCCATACTTCACTAGTTCCTAAAGCTGTGTCCTTTATTTTGAGAACCTAGAGAGCAGTTAATATAGTAAAAAAAAAAAAAAATGCTAGTTGGTGCGCTGTTGGATGTCAGCTCATAGAATCACCCCTATTTTTTGAACACCTGGTGTGTATGTGGTGGGAGCCAAATATACAATGATGAAGATGATCAAGTAGATGAGCTCACGAGGTAGTAACAGAGACAGCCATAAACAGGTCACTTTAATTTTGCAATTATATAAAAGTGCTGTGGTATCTGGGAAATCAGAGCACAAGGAAGAAACTTGATGCAATCTTGGGAAACCAGAAAATAGCAGTGGGTGAAGAGGGACAGAAGCTGGCAAATAAAGGGAACAGGATGAGCAGCCAGGTCTTTAAGAAGTCTGTGTCCTGTGTGCAAATGTCCAGAGTCAAGAGACTACATACCGCGTGTGGAATTACAAGCAGTTCATTCTAACCACAAAGGTCTTAAGCCCTACACCGCTGAAAAGAATTCTTAAAGTGTTGAGCTGACCCTGAAATAAATTTTCCTTATAATTCACCATCTTTATAAATGTGTGGCAGGAATTTGGAGATGATTCCAATGGACATCCCAGTAGACTTTATATCTGAACATAAATTCAGGAGAAATTCCAAGATCTATTGAGGGGCCCAAAGGACAACAAAGTTAAGATGCACATGTTGTAACTTCTGTTTCTTGCTGTGATAAGTACACTCTTTCTGTTGAGCATTTAAAATTTTGATGTGTATTGGCCACAGTTTGCATTGTCCCTAGCAAATAGGAGAGACCGCCAGGTTCCTGAAACCTTTGCCAACCTAATGCCCTATCAAAATGTCCATCTGACAGATGACACAAGTACTTTATACTTTTACTTTGCATATCTTTATAATCAGTAAAGTTAAATGTTTTATCTCTTATACTTTTGCCTATTTAAAACATGTCTTTGCTGCTTTTTGCTCCAGATTCATAAGCATCATTATAGCTGGAGAAATAATAATAATAATAATAATAATAATAATAATAATACTACAGATTGCCAATGTTTTCCTCATCATACCATTTGTTTTTTGTCTTATTTAAAACTTTACTATGAATAAGTCATCTTTTAACTTGTTTTTCATTTCTTTAAATTAATTAATTCAATCAAAAGTGAGCTTGTTTTTCTGTTTGTTTTGTTTTGTTTTATACATCACTATTTTTAACCATTTCTTGGGCAGAACTACCACGGCACACATACTAATAAAATGAGCCACAGTGTTATGCTATTATAACATAAGGAGCCTTTTATAATATCTTTACTAAACATTCTCGGCCTATCTAAAAAAGAAAATTGGCTTATTTTCTTCATTGGACCAGGGAGTGCTCGAGTAGTACGCTGGCTGCCATATAAAAGAGCTCTATAAACATTGAAGGCCAGATGTTTTCAGTTTCTTGAATCTCTTAGTTGATTTATCTCTTTCCTCATCTTCTCAGATTCGTTTTCAAATCCCTCAATAAGTAGTTCTTCTTGAATCTGTAGAAAAGGAGAGAATTCCCTTTTGAAAATCCCAATTAGCAGCACTTTATATTTAACAATTGCTGCAGCTAAGCACATGTTTTACTTTTCTACTAACTTAGATGCTCTTTGATACATTTGTCCAAAATTTCCAAATATTTGGACCTCATAGTGGGAGTATCCAGGCTTATGCCTTTCTAAGATCCCTTAGTGTGACTTCACAGGGGGGCCGGGGGTGGGGGGTGAGCTGGGTTGTTCCAGCCCTAAGGATGCTCTTTGGGAAGGTTGGGGGTTCAATTCAAATTATTTCTTGATTCCACTGAAGTTGGATGACTACACACATGTAACACATAATGGGAATTTCTGACTTTCTATAGAACACTGGTTATCAAACTTCAGGTTGGGACAAAGCACGCATTTTACTCAGGGTGCACAGAATAAATCAGGCAGATCTGGAAACGAATGCAGCAAACATTAGAGCTTTCTGAATCTTTTATAGCATATCAGGCACAATCTGACATCTTCCACCAGATGGATCTACATGAAGTCTCTTTGATGGTTGTAGCAAACATCCTAAGGACTACAGGACTAAGGTCCTATTCACTTGGGGGCACAATGAGCCAGTTCAGGAGTCTGGGGCATGTCATTTGCACTCTGCAGACTCTAAAGCCACAAAAGGTGCCGAGTCATAGACTTAGGGCTTTAGAATGACCCGATTAATTTGGCCTTTCCCTGACTCATATGCCTTTGGGTTTCCTTCAGGGTTTATGACCTCAGTCAAATGTTTGTCCTCCCCTTCACGAGGACCCATGTTATTTATTGTCCTCTATCCACTGCCCTGACCCCACCTGGACTTACCTTCTGCTTGTGCTCCAGCATTCTTTCCTGCTCCTTCAGGGGGCTTTTGCTTTGTCTCCTAATCGTCTCCTTCAGTTGGACTAGGTGTTCCTGGAAGCTTTTATCTTGAGCATCCATTTTTTTCCTGCTGTTCCTCCTGTGTCTGTCTTAGCAGCTCCTGTTCCTTATCAGCTTCCCAATTCTTGGCACGCTCAGCTGTTCTCCAAGGGTTTTACAGAGGAAAGAAAATAATTTATGCTCAGCAGTACCCTCCTGAGCTCAGAAACTAAAAGGATTTTAAAATGGTAAGGAGAATGTGATGGAAAGGCGTAATTGGCTGATTAAGCTATCAGAATTCCCCAGGTTAGTTTCAGTTTAGTTGACTTGTTTAACAGGACAGGAAGCACCTTGTTTAAGGAGGGTTGTACTCTCACACCTGTTGCAGGCACTGCAGGAACCTCCTTTCCCTCTGTGATCAGAGCCCTGTACTGTACCTGCTCCCAATCAGTGAGGGCTTTGTCTGCCTGCAGGATGGATTCCTTTGTTGTAGCCTGTGACTGTACAAAGCTCTGGAGGACCTCATGTCCCTGAAAAACAAACAAACAAACAAACAAAACATTTTAAAAAATCAAACCTCTTTAGTTAGAATAAAATGCTCAATAGCAACCTCTTTCCTCTCTCTCCAACTTCCTATCCTAATATTGCAGCCATCATCCACCCCAGGTTACAGACATGCAGGCTTATGTACAGTTCTACACTCATCCTGCATTGTTTGCAATAAGTGCACATTCTTTTTCTTCTGACTGGATGCTCAGCTACCCCTTTTTTACTCAGGTAGCTTGGATTGATACTTCAACTTATAGCTTCTCCCTCCTCTTCCAGAAAGGTTTGCTAAACTTCCTTCTGAGATTTGAATGGCTGTCACGTACACAGACCTGGTCTACCAACTCTCTACCACATACTGTCTGTCTGCTCTTAGATAACTTATTAGCTTCTCAGTGCATCTCATTCCTCAAGTGTATAATGGAGATTATATTATTCTAATAAGTTGATAATCCGAACACAGCACCTAAGATGATACATGTAATAGAAAGTGAGTGCTCAATATATGTTAGGCATCACTATCATTATCATCATGATCAGCAGCAGCACTATCAGTGTATACTTATATGATGACCATATCCCATCATATCCAATTGAATATTTATATGTCCCTTTTCAGTAAGGTCATAAGCTTTTTGAGAATGTTGTTTCTTTAATTATATATCTCCTATACTCAGCACAAAACTATTACACTGTTTGTTAAATAAAACAAATGTTCTATTTCATCTAGATTTGGGATAATAATAAATCCCATATTTAGGAAGAAATATTTCTGGTTTATGTAAAAGTGTCTAACTTATTATGGATATAAAAGACAAAAATGTAGGTCTTGCCATGCTCTGCTTTTTCTCCATAAATGGTGTGGTGTGGTCTTAGATTTTAAGAAAGCATCCACAAGCCCTAACCTGTTTGGCTCAGTGGATAGAGCTTCGACCTGCGGACTGAAGGGTCCCAGGTTCGATTCCGGTCAGGGGAATGTACCTTGGTTGCGGGAATATCCCCAGTAGGGGGTGTGCAGGAGGCAGCTGATTGATGTTTCTCTCTCATCGATGTTTCTCTCTCATCGATGTTTTTAACTCTCTATCCCTTATCCTTCCTCTCTGTAAAAAACCAATAAAATATATTTTATAAACAAGAAAGCATCCACAAGACCCTCTGATCCCAATACCCTATTCTTCTCCCTTCTTTTTATATCTCACCTTCACTACATTCCTGGGCATCATGTTATAGGACTGTTCAAGCTTGTCCATTGCTTCTAAGTAGAGCTTGTATCCATCAGGCACAGAGAAAGTTCCTCTTGAAATATTTTCTATCAAGGGCTCTGAAAGCTGCTTAAGCTGAGCCTGGCAATATTTTCCAGATGCCTCTTCATTCTGCAGCAAGAAATACTCCTTCTTCATGGCTATGGTTTCCTGGCATTGAAATGTGGAGAGAAGTTGTTAGAAGGGAAGGTTTAACTGTGATCCTTTTGAAAGAGGCTGTCTTACTTGCAGTCAAGATGGTGAAGTAGGTAACTGCTGTGCTCATCCCTCCAGGACCACATTGAATTTACAACTAAATTATTGAACAACCATCAAGAACCATCTGTAGATGATCTGAAAAGGAATCCAAAGAGGACCACACCAAGACACATCATAATTATAATGCCAAGAGCAAAAGATAAATAGAGAATCTTAAAAGCAGCAAAAGAAAAACAGTTAGTTACCTACAAGGGAGTACCCATACGACTGTCAGCTGATTTCTCAATAGAAACTATGCAGGCCAGAAGGGAGTGGCAAGAAATATTCAAAGTGATGAATAGCAAGAACCTACAACTAAGATTAATTTACCCAGCAAAGCTATCATTCAGAATTGAAGGTCAGATAAAGAGTTTCACAGACAAGAAAAAGCTAAGACCATTATAAACTTTTGAATAATAGATACAGAGGCAGAGCTGCCTCAAACAGATTGTCAAACTGCAGCAGAAAGGCCGGGGAGGGTTGGGGGGCAGGAGGTAGGGGGGTAAGAGATCAACTAAAGGACTTGTATGCATGCATATAAGCATAACCAGTGGACATAAGACATTGGGGGATAGGGGAGGCTAGGGGACTGTCTAGGGCGGGGGGATAAAATGGACACATATGTAATACCCTTTGTAATACTTTAAGCAATAAAAAAATAAAAATAAAAATAAATAAAAAAAAATAAAACACAGAAAAAGAAAAAAAAAAAGAAAAAAGAAAAAGCTAAAGGAGTTCATCACCACCAAACCAGTATTATATGAAATGCTGAAAGGTATTCTGTAAGAAGAGGAAGAAGAATAAATAGGTAAAGATAAAATTTATGAACAACAAATACACTTCTATCAAAAGTGAATCTAAAAATCAAGTGAATACATTCTCAGCCTTGCCCTAAGGGGCCGCGCGGGTCTCAGTGTCCCGACAATCCAATTGCTGCAAGCACCTCTGAGGGAAAGCCGCCCTCGAGTTCTGAGTTCTACCCGTTGCCAGACAGTCCAGTTTCTCCCCGTATGAGTTCTGGGTCTCCAGAGACTTCCTGGAACCGGAGTTCAGAGCAGTCGGGAGCTTGTGACTCCCTCCTGATTCAAAAAGATAGCTGCGTCCTCAGGAAAGATCCTCGGAGGAGAAAATGGCGGAGGTATAAACGGACGTGTCCGGTGCCTTGTCCTGGAGCAGATAAGGGTGAGCAGCTGAAACGGGTAACATACAGCCCGAATAGGCAGAGGATTTTCAGCTGAGAGACTGTCTGAAGCTGCGAAAGACCGAGAACTCCCAGGAAAAAAAAGGACGGTTGGAGACTGCGGCTGAAACCTCTCTCGGTGCGCCAGCTCAGCAGCGGAGACTGGGCCATCTTGGGTAGCTGTTGCCGGTGTCCAGAGATCAGCTTCTAACCTGGAAACAGGAGATCTCAAGCAGTGTGACTGCGTGAACTCAGACGAGCACTGCTTCTTCTCACGGAAAGGTTAGACTTCCCCTAAAGGTGCAGTTTGCAGTTCGGGTTGGAGAGAGGACCGAGCTCGCGCATGCGAGGGGCGAAATCTGCGCCCCACAGAGTCCGCGGCAGTTGGGACCAGCGTGACCTGCGAGTAGGGAAGGGGCCCCACAGGGCTGCTGGCAGAAGGGAATGCTAAAAATAAGCCCATAGCTGGACTGGATGTAAAAAAGCAGCCTTGGACTTTGCCAGTGTCCCGGCTGCTTGGTGCCAGGGGCAAGTGGGCGCGCGGAGACTGTGTGCAGACCTGGAAGGTGGAGGCTTGCGAATTCACACAGAGTATCAGGCCCTTGTTACAGTTCTCCTTAGATCCGTGCATTTGATTATTAAACCCGGCGCATGGGATTCCCCAGTTGGGGTCATTCGCAGAGCCTGTAGGGGCAAGTTCTTTTGGGGGAGCCTGGGAAATAAAGCTGGCAGTAACGATTAAAGAACCAGCGCAGGGCAGTGGACTTTCCCAAATCAATTTCAAGTACCATAGAGAAAAAAAAAACCCTACTGATAGAGAGGACTTATAACCTTGGAGGTCAATCCAGACACACTGCCACCCAGAGGCAGAGCCACGAACTGTCTCTTCTGTGATCACAAATAAAGGTAGTCTGGTAAACAAATACAACCTGCCTTAAAATCAGGACTGTGGTTTACGGCACGGAGGGACAGTGTATGGCAGGGAAATTCAACACTCTCCTGAATGCCTGGCAGGACTAAGGTGTGCCAAAAAGAAGAGTAGAAGATCTGAAGCACCTTCACTACTGCATATTTTTATATTTTTTTAATTCTTTTTTCACCATTTCATTAAGAACTTATTTTATTATTTTTTAATTTTTTTTCATCACTTGATTTTACCTTTTTAATTACCATATTTTTTTAACCAGTATTATTGCTATCATTTTACCATTTTTTCAAGTGTCATTTTATTTTTTTTTATTTTTCTTTATTTTATTTTGGGATTAGTGTTCTATACTCTATTTTCATTGTTCCATTAGCATCATTTCTCTCTATCTCACCTTTACCCTTAAGCCAAAACTCTCTTCCTCACTTTTCCCCTTTTGGTGTCCTGTTTCTCTTACCCTATTCCTGCTTTAGATTTTCCCTATTCCTTCTTTTTACCCACTGTCTAAATTTCACCCTACTTATATATCTAATTTCCAATCCCTTGCTCTAAATCCATATACACCTCTCTCTTATCTTTCTTCACTATCCAATTTTTTTTTTTCTCTTTCTCTGTCGTTTTGCTAGTGTTTGCTTGATTTTGAGTATATTAGGTTTTTTTATGCTTGTTTGGGAGATTGTTTTGTTTTTCATTTTCATTTTTCTGTTTTGCTTATTTTTTCTTTCTCTGGTTATTGTTGTGTTTCTGTTTTCTCTTGCCTTTCTTGATATTAGTGGTTGTTTGTAGTTTGCATTAATCTCCAGGGAACTGATGCTGGAATTCATTGAGATTAGTTGCGGTTCTCTTAGAGTTTTCTCCCCA